GTTAGTGTGCCTTAGAGCTGAGAAATTTTCTGTCTAGCTGCAGATCATTAGGAAAACGTTTTGGATAAGTTAGTGTTTCTTTTTTCCTTTGCATTTAAAAGAACATTAAGCCCAAGAAGTATAAGTCATTCTTTAGCAACTAGGAAATGGTCATCTGCACTGTTTGAGTCTTGAGGTCTGTAAATAACATTTCTGATTTCAAATAATCTCCATAGCTTGCCATCATGCACAATCATACCAGTTTGCTTCCTTTTTTTCCCCTTCCTTTTTAAAGAAAAGTATACACTAGAAGATATAAAAAGATCTGACTTTTTAAAGAAAATATTTACCCATCAAATTACTATCCAAAAAATCTTATGTGAAACTGCAACACAGAAAATAGCGTGAAAGAGTAAAAAGACAATTTTACCCTCTCTGCATCCGAAAGGTCAAAATAAAAAAAAAAGTCTACTGCAGATGTTTCTCAGAAAAATGAATTTTGAAGAGTACATGCCTCAAAACTTTTTTCTCCCAGTTGCTGACAGGGAAATACTAAAATCCAGCATCAACTTGCACAGATTTGCTTAATATGGTATTCCAGTCTTCACCAGAGAAAGGTAAGAAACTGAATTAGTCTGTTGTGCTAACAAAGCAGGAAGGATCTTGGAATTTAAGAATTCAAACTGTAACATCAAAACTATTATAAGATACCACAGAGTCAGATGAGATGATTTTCAAAGACATCAACTGGTCTCAGGATGACAAGCTTACTGTAAGAAGAAAAACAAAATTAATCTTCACTCACATGGACAAAGAACAAAGTACCAACATTCAGATAAACTTTAGCATTAACACATATAGAAGGACTTTACAAATAACAAGCCATTAGGAAAAAAAGAAATTTCTTGTGCAGTATGTTCTTGAAATCCTTCTCATTAGAGCTCCAATTAGATCTAAAGAGAATTCAAATAAAAGACTGAAACACCAAAGTCTATTTTTGTTGCAACTATTTTTGATGTCTACAGATTTAAGACATGGTTCAGAATAAAAAATGCAGGCATATTAAAGTAAAAAATGAAAATAATTATTTTATAAAACTACAGTATTTAGGCAACTGTGTGACAAGCACACTAACATCTTTATAAAGGTCTACATCAGTCCACAAAAACTAAGAGTTCGTTTTCACCAAAGATCAGTTTACACCTATATTGGCTCAATTGAAAAAGTTTTGGGTTTTTTTTGTAATCTTGATCAAGAACTTCTACTTTGTCTGACTTAACAGGTTCATTTGAAAGTAATCAAGTGCTATAACATCAGTACAGTAAGAAACAGCTCCACTCAGAACAGGATGATGAACAATCAAAATTGTTCAGATTTTTCACACTTAGGGTTTTTTCCCCACAAACCCCTCAAATTTCTGCTATTTGTTACAGTTGTTCTAATCTTGTTAATTGTAACTTATCTGCTAATTGTAATAAAAGGTAAGCGATATAGGATTAAATCCAACTACATCTTTAGTTGCAACATTAAGACAGTGTTGAATTACAGTAAATGAGGTGCTTCATTGAAGGTCTCTTCCCCTTTATGTTACTTTGTGTATTGGTACAACAGTAGTGTATGACTTGTGGTAGGAAAAAAAAAAAAAATCCCCTGCTCCTCCCCATCTGTTTTTGGTGAGACCTACGAGTTCAGGGATTAGTTAAAAAAACACAGGGAACATGCAGAATCACTTCCTTGAATCAAAACCAATTTCTTGTGCATCTCTTTTATGCTCATGAGACAACTGACAATTACAAATTGCTCATTCCATCTAAAACACCCTCAAATAAATGTACAGTTTTTAGAAGTTATCTAAGGGCTGACAAGAATAGTAAGCTTAGTCCGTTTGAGGACCTCTTCAGAGTAGATGGTCAACAACAAAATCAGATGTTTTAAATCAGGTACAGTCATGCTACGCTGTTCTCAGATACCCAAGTTACCTGGGTAATCATTTTTAACTCCTTTTCTAGTTAAGGAATAGAGACTGTTTTCAGACTGTGGTTTAGAACAGAAACCTATTTTAAATGCTTGAAGTTACACCAATACTTTTCAACAGGTGCTTTTTCTATTTAAGAAATAGCCCTGCTTAGACTTGTTTGTAAACTAAGTCCTGTACCTTTGTCTTTCACCAATAACTTGTATTTCTTCTATGGCTTTTCTGATTTGAAATAAGTGAGTTTTAAGAGAAGAAAAAATACGAATGGCACTGGCCATAAGTAATGTTTGAAAGAGGTTTTCTTGTTACTTTATTGTTTTGTAGACAAACTGTAATATAGTCTGAAATACTGAATCCCATTATTTACATTTTTTTGTAGCTCAACCAAATGTGGTTTACTACAATATTGTCATTGAACTACATGTCAGATCACATCTTGCTCAAGCCCTTTAGCACCTAGCCAGAAAAGAAAATACCTTCTTAAATGTTTACCTTTTTTTCTACAGAAATTTTGAAAAGCTGTCTGGGGAAAACCAAGGTAACCCTGCTCTTGGTGTTTCAGACTAGGAAAACCCATTTGCTGAACTGTTAAAACAAACAATGATTTAGCTAATCACAGTGGAGGCATACTTGGGAATGCATTCAGAAGGATGAACTAAATAAGGGAAGGAGTCAACAGGATGCTTGGTTTGTTGATTCAAACAAGGAAGGATGGTGCTTCAGGTGACAACAGATTTCACTGAAGGCTATGCTAGTAAGGATGTGACTGAACTGAAATGACAAGAGTTGGCTAAGGTAGTAGCAAAAAAAAGGAAGGGGACAGCAGAGCTAGACAAGGAATACAGGGACAGAGCAAGCCAAAGAGAAATCAAATCAAGAAAGTAATTTGGTAATGACTGAAATACATACAGAATCCATTTAGATTGCAACCAGGACACCGTTCTCTTACCCTGAATGACTTATGCTGAATGGCATACAATCACAGATTAGTTTTGACTGAAACAAACATTTGTGTTTGTTTCTTAAAGCGAGAGCAAACCAAGCCATTCTGATCCAGGTGGTTTTCAACCATTCAGAGTTCAGAATGTAACAGCAGGGGACAAAACACATGCCAGTAAGAATTCCCCCCGACACCTTTCATTGATGGAAGTTTGCAGGAGGAAGGTGGTAAAAAGAAGTTTAAAAGGTTTCATCCCCTTACAGGTAGACCAGGGTGCAAACATGTATTAAGAAATGAATCGTGCACGGATGCATTACCAGGCTGAATTCAAAACAAGCAGGCAAACTTGGAATACCAATTTTAAAATTATGTGATACAGTAATTTCAGATGATTCATAAGAAGCATCCATGTAAAGAACACGCTAGTAAGTTGTCATTAGTTTTGCAGTGACTGCAGACTGTCATGAGCACTGCAGATTGACTGCAGTGAAAAGGCAGGTTTGAGCATGCCACACAACCACCTTAAGGCAGCATGCACAGTCCTTTCCTGTGCTGTACCTGTTCTGTAAGCCAACACACAAAAAACTTCCACCTCCCAGACTGTCAATCTGGCACCCTTCAGATGTACTAAATTATTGAAAAAAGAAAAGTAGGAAAGCTTGTATTTAATTCGGTGAACTAGAACAGCTCATTCAGAGCACTGGATAAAAAGGTTCTTAAAATATTTTATTTTGCCTGACATTCAGTGTAAAAGGAAATCAATTTCCCAAATACAATTCCTTATGGCAAGATTTAGAACTTACTGTAACAAGCATGGCAGTCAGTTGTGAAATTTCAATGTGAAACTAAGACTATACAAAAATTTTAAGTGCCTATTTTTGCAACAAGATATACATACACACAGGGACATAGGGGGGAAAAAAACCAAAACCAAAACCAAACAAACAACCACCAACAAAAAAACCCCAAAACAGGATCCAGGTCTCAGAAACCCCTCAAATAATTGAAAAGCACAGAACAAAAGTCCTACAGCCGGAGCTCTTCTCTCTGGGATACTACTACCTCCTACTTTCCTCCATTCCTATCTTGGAATTAAAAAAAAAGAAAAAAAAAAAAAAGGCAGAGACATGCTTTACAGCAGTTCTCCCCCACCTCCCCCCCCAAAAGACAAAAACACAGACTAAAGAAAATATACTGTTAACTGAAGTACTATCCCCTGCATCTATCTGATAAATGAGATAGTGGTTTTATGCTGCACTCATTAATGAGTTGATGGGGGAAAAAAAACCACAACAAAACCAAAACCCCAAAACTCTAATAATTAATGAATGAATTTTCTTTTGAAAACAGACCAGCAGAATGCCACTAAATGGAAATAAAAACAAGTCTTGCTGGTGAGAGAGGTCCTTTGTAGTAAAGGACTACGCAGTTCCCCTTCCTAAGAAGAGGGGAAACTTCAGACCTCAGGTAACAGAACACCCCATTAGAAAGAGCCAATGAAGTACTTCTGTGGAGTATATTAACATTTCATGTATGTACATTTTTAAAGGGTGAATATACTCTATAGTGTGAACTTAGTATCTGCTGAATGTTACTTTTGAAATGGAAAAATGTAATCATAGAAGTACAGGAATAAAAAAGATGATTTAGTGCGAGTAGTCAAATTTTTTAGAATAATACCTACCAAATATTCCACTTCTCCTAATGTATTTTTCTAAATTACGTTTCAGTACTGTATGTATTTTTGTGGGATCAAATTTTCTTCTACAGTTGCACAGTGCAGGGATACAGAATAAATACCTTATTATTGGAATATTACTCTATTTACCGTTTGACTTAAATCAGTTTAAAATTCAGAAGACATCCAAAAGCTTTTATGCAACAGAGTACACCTGTGTGTTAATGTAAATGAAACATCATTATGTTGAGGGTTTTTTTATATTCAATACTCTTTTAGCATTAAGTGATAGTGATTAGAGCTCCTTTTGTGAATATGGGGGTGGGGGTTGCCATTTGGAATGGTCTTTTTTCTTTTCTTTTTTTTTTTTTTTTCCTTTTTTTTTTCATTATGAAGGACCATTGCCTTTTTTGGTTATTGCTTTTTTTTTTTTTTTTTTTTTTTGAAGACCATTCCATTTCTTTATTTTTTAACATCTTAAAGTCATAAGGACTTATATGCAAAGCAGTCATACACTTTATCATTAAAACCCATAGGTAAAATACGTACACAAATCCAACAAAAGGCTAGTACATAGTAAAGCCTAAGCATACTACTATGCAATATTATGAATACATAACTTTAGAGACTTCGGTTTAGTACTGTTATCTATCCATTTCTGAAAACATTCACAAAGATTTTAAATGCAAATTTTCATTCCGTATCTGGAATAGAACAAAAATTATCTATGTTATAACAACTTTTGGTCATTTGTGTTTGACCAATTCGGTAAATTACAAAGAACCCAAAGAATTCTGTAACTTTCTGTAGAACTATGTAATAAAAACATTGCATATGTTCCTAGTATGATGTCTTTAGCAATCATTTACTGAAATGTAACTCAAACATCAATCTCTCAAAACGTATAACTGACCAGCTGCTTTTTAGTCTATATCTGAATCCAACTTCATCACAAAACCCCTTTTAATACAAAGATGCAGAAGTACATTAGGTAATACTAATGCAACACAGGTGCAGTTCTAGCATTGTCATTGATCAGTTGAATCATCTTCTCCATGAACGAGATTCGTTATCCTCCTCCTCTTCATCATCATCTTGAAGCAGCGAGTCATCCACCAAAGATTCTTCCTGAAACTTCAAGAGAAAAACATGACACTCTGTTACATCAGAAAATTTTAAAGATCAAAAGGCAAAATACAGATCTCTAAAACTTGTGATTTAATGAAGAACAAATTTATTTTTTAATAGATAAACAGTAATGGTTTCAAAAAAGTATACTGCATGCATATGTATTATATTAATAAATGGCAAACGAAACATATTTTTTTTCTTTTCAGTGGACTTCAAAATGACCAGGACATATGCACCTCATACTTAAATAGCTCTTCTGATTCTTCAGCATAACATTCACGCCCAAGCTGCAATGTTCCCATGAAACTTAAGACGCTATACTGAAAACTAATGTTAGTTTTTGCACATTCAGAGTAACTATGCCTGTTTTCATCCAAGAGCTTAATCCACCTGTGCCTGAGTAGCAAAAAGGTTGAATCTGAGACATTTTATTTTGACAGCTTAATCAAGCTTAAAACCAATATAAAGGTTTAAAAGATCAGGGCAGGGAGACAGGTATTTACAGAAATTTAGACAAAATATATTAATGTATTTTCAATTTGTTTCAGTAACAACATAGTAATTTGATAGACTTCACAACCCCCTGAACATTTCAGGTCAACAGTTACAGGCTTCAGAGAGGCAAAGTTAAAAAAAGAAAGATAAATAGTGAGTTGTTTTAAATTTTTATCTACATATAGGCAGGGGCGTATATATAAACTATCCCATCTCAGAACTTTTTTAACAATTGCACCTATCACAGCAATTTCTGGACAAGGATATCCTTCCCTAGCAAAATCTCCCAGCTGTTAGACACAAGTTATGGTCTTCCTTGCTTATTTTCTTCTCATCCCAGTAACTGTAGTTTTTTGCTACAGAACTTCCAAATTCAACAGGGAGGTGTGAAGGTTGACTGGTGAAGTTAGGGAGCCTTCTGGAGAGATGTGAAGCTGTAGGCTGAAGAAAGCCTATAACTAAGCCTTCTCTATTTCTACTAGGCTCTTTTACAAAGGGAGAAACTACTACCTGCATTACTTTTGCCTACAGAAAGTGCATTTTAAAAAGCAGCTCTGTCGACACCTGACCTGTCTGTCAATGTATGCTTGGATACTCTAAGCCAGACTAAACCACAGAAGCTTTCTGAGGACTTAGCCTCTTCCCCTGGTCCAGGTCTGCTGGTCTAGATGTCCAGCAGGCTAAAATACAACAGGTATATGACCCCTTCCATGTTCTAGATATATCCTATAAAGTTTTTTGTTCTGTAAGAAATGAAATATTTCTGCAAGGGAAAGTAAAGTATGTGGACTTTTGACAGCCTAGAAAACAAGAAATGTATTTATAGATAAATACACATTCTGATAACAAAACATAAGTTAGATTAAAAAAATAGACCTATGAATCAACAGACCATTTTCTTTTGAAAAAGCTACACTATCTCATCTTAAAAAAGAAAAATGAAAGAAAAAAAGAAAAAGCAAACTTACTTCTTCTTCATCAGGTTCAGCTTCTTCTGTTTCAACAGCTGACATACTAGCAACAGGCTTGTTCCACGCCAACTTTAACTCTTGTCCTTTAAAACGAGATCCATGAATTGCAGCCTAAAACAAGTTTAAACGTTTTAGTTACATATTTCTTTGTCAGGGGAAAAATTAACTTCAGTAATACTTAAATGCCAGAAATAAACCAACAGCCTGCTTTTTCAAAAGAAAATTCTAGTTGTAATATGTTCTTACTGAATTACTGTTAACAGGTTAAAACAAAACAACTTCATTTACTGCACATGGAATTCACACATCCTTTCAGGAAAAGGATCAAAATATATTCAGAAGAAAATAAGCTTGGAAAACCATAAATCATTTGGTAATGTGGGTAACATACTGAACCAAAACCTTGCTGGTTTTTAGTATTACCTTGATGGGTTTTTCTCCTTTCAAAGTTGGACACAAAATTGTTAATGCATAACTTACTGGAAGAAGAAAGACATCCCACAAATACAAATGATTTACTATATTAAAAAAAACAAACAAACGAAAACAACCAAACAACTCAAAAAAGCCCCTTTGCGATTACAACTTAACTTACTGGAAAACATTCCACTTCCTGTAAAGCCGTTGTAATTGAAATGTAAAAATTTTTAACTTATGGGATATTGATGCCTTTCTAAGTACCAGCTGCATTAAGTGGCTGCTTTGGAAATAGTATGTTCAAATTAAAGTAACATGAATGAGCATAAATCAGCGTTAGCAACATTCCGAAATAACCGTCATGGTCACAAAAGATTTATAGTACAATCTGAAAGCACAGCATAATGTGAAATGTAGAAACAATTACATGTTCAATGACATCTGAACATGAATTGTGTGATATTAAAGTCCCCAGGTATAAATTTTAAATCTGTACATATAAATTTATGATAAATTTAAAAGATTCTATGCTTATTAAAATGCAGCTCAGGAGCTTTTTGACCATGGTCTCATCACAATGTCACACAACTAGAATTTTTAAAAGTACTTATATGTGACATTTAGGTCCAGAAACAACTTGTAATCTTTGGAAGAAATTACTACTACATAAAAATGTAACATTTTACAATAGGGAATCTTCCTTTTCCTTCCAGGCTACAATGTATATGGTCATAAAGCCTAGGCCTATTTTCATTTAAGAAGGTAAAATATTAGCTGCATTTATTTCACAATTGGCCTCAACAGAGGTTTTTAATGATTACCTTCTACAACTTCTCCAATTGCCAGTCTTAAAGTCTGCTTTAGTAGTAAACACAGAAATTCCAGTGGAAATATATTTAATATGTAAGAAAATCTTAAGGAAAATACAGATTTTACTAGATTTGATCAGCCACAGTTTTCATAAAATTTTAATTTAAAAATGAAGGTGCAGCTAGACACAAAGTCATTCAACAATTAAAAGTTTTAATGCTAACTAGAGTGTGGATCTCAAACATCAATCATGAATTCTGACCCAGCTAGAATATCCCCACTTTCCAGAGCATATTCTGAACTTCACCTTGAATACAGCTTGAAAACCCCACCTATTCTATTTCAGAGTGACTGATGAAAAACATATTGCTTTTTAAATGCAGTGAAATGCATCATAAAAAAAAAAGTACATAATGTTGACTTCAACCTTTCCACCAAACATATCTCCCTTCTCTCCCTGCCCACATCTTTCTTCATTCTCTGCACTACCTTCTTTTTCAAGTGCTTCCTACCTCTACGCTTCTATGTTTGGTTCCAAAATACTACCATTCCTTGCTTTTTGGGTACAGAAATTTAGCTAAGGCCGAAATGATTCTCCATGCCAATTTTTAGGCAAAACAAGTTATAACAATAAAACCCGTATTTTGCTGATAAACAAGTATCTGTAGTAAGATACTGTCAAGATCGTTGTTGTGAACCATACTCCACCTGGAAGAAATAAAGACTTTATTTGGACAGTCCATAAAAACAGATTATTGTTCTAGGTGACCTATTTTTATTTCCAGGGAAGCAGAAGTTCCTCTCGATACTTAGAATATTCTTATGTAAACTACAATATCAAAGAATGTGAAGTTGCAAAATGAAGTACCCAACGTCAGGAATCAGGAAGCGCCAAAACTAAAATGCTAACCTTAATGCAGTCCACTTGTGAATAAACTAATTATGACAGCTTTTATCTGTGAGCAGGTATTTCTCATTCTCCACAAAACTTTTGTTCACTGTTGAACAGTGTTCTTTCTATACAGTTGTCCAGTACTGTTTTTCCCTATCACTCAGTACACACTATGTGCTATTAACTGCACTTCCTTTTTTACAGAATAATTACAATCTCCATACAGTTAGTTCTAATAATTGCTGTATCTAAGAGTTTCACAAACAAAATTCCCATGTTTCTGTAAAACATATTTGGCACATGCTTCAAATTGTTTCTCAAAATATGTAACCATAATGATACTGTAAGTGTTCAAAACTATTGTCCCCATTTGCATAATTTGCATTGTAATTATCAGTATTTTTGTCAATCAGGTCACTGGTGTCTCAAGATAAAGCATACAAAATGAGAAGACTCTCACCAGCTATGAAAACTGTGTTCAAGTAAACTCCACAAGATGAAATCTGCAAAAACAGACACTTTGTGCAAAATATAAACATAAAATGAAATCTTTCTATACAACCATATTGTTGTATATCAATTCTTTCTGTGAATCAATTCTTTCTGGAGTCCCTATTATTTTCAGGTGTGCTGGGTTTGGCTGGGATAGAGTTAATTTTCTTCATAGTAGCTGGTATGGGGCTATGTTTTGGATTTGTGCTGAAAACAGTGTTGATAACAC